GAGTGTCATCTTGTCAACCAAATAAGCTCCAAATCAGATTTGGTTTGTTAAGAAATCAGTGAGCTAGTTGGTTCAAATTTGAATGCAACTACACAATGTATCTGGACTGTTTTTGGGGCTGAATTGGGCGCACCATATGGCTTGCTATATGATGTTTGTTAAGTCAGATATTTGTTAAGATATTGACTTGATATCATGAGGATATGATAGGAGGTTGTTGGCAAGATTTGATGTTGCAACAACTCCATTTTTCCTCTCTATTGTGCGCTACTTATGGTCAAATTTTTAGAGAAAAATCTGATCCAATTTTGATAGTTCTCTCATCTCCTTTGGTAATCTTTTTGTTAGGTTTTTCTTAAGAGGTTTTGAAAAATAACCTAGCCATATATCATCAAATCCATGCGCCACTTTTGTGGAGTTTTAAGCTGAAAATTTCACTCTTTTAAACACCTTAACCTAGCCTCTTCCTTCACACATTGGACGCCTAGCAAGCTTTTGTGGTGATCAATTGGTGGCTTTTCAATAAGAGTTCTTGCATCTTGACGTGGGTGGTGTGGATCAACGTTAGAGGGTTTGAACCCTTCAAACCTTACACTGATCTCCTTGGTGTTTGAATCACTAACAAAGGTAACATCATGTTGTCTTAAAGCATGAGTCTTGATTGCATGTGTGATTCCGCATGAAAAATTTTGTTTTTCCCTCTCACATGCTTCGGCCTTCAAGATCAATTTAACTTTCAAAGTGTGTGTCCTTTTAAAGGATACAAATTGTATCATTTTAACATTATGTCTTACCGGTAAGACATAGTTATAACATGAAAAATAACTTTCTTTTCTCTCTCCACATCAGCTGAAGTGACTGAGGAAAGAATTTTTTTTTCATATTATAAATATGTCTTACCAGTAAAATATAATGTCAAAAACTAAAAGAACGTAAGGATGTGTCCTTTAAAAGGATAAACCCTTTTCTCTACTTTTAAATGGGCTTATTTAGTTTAGTTGGGCCCAAATTTTAAAACAAGTCAACTAATCATTTTTGTGATTAAGATTAGAAGTCTTTCTTTTAAAAATAATAAGAATAAGAATAATAACACAACTTATTATAATAAAGTGAAAAAAACAAATATACAATATAAAAAAACAAAAAGGTGAAACACAAAAATAATCATAGTGTACATGTTTCTTATTATTTGTTTGCATTTAGATGGTTTGTTTACTTTATATTGAGTATTTATTTTTCTATTTAGGTGATGTCAAATTATAATTTTAACCTTAGTTAATTATAATTACTTATATAATATATATAACAAGTAAAAACAAAATTAAAACAAGAGGTGCCTTGGCACTTACTGGTGTGGGCGTGGCTATGCCACTGTTTACCAATGTACTAGATTTGAAGTTTGATCATGTTAAATTTGACCATGTTATTTGAAAATTTGCATTTTTTTTATAAACATTAATATTTATAAATAAGTGGATTTTTATTGTGAATATTTATAAACATTAAATAAGTGGAGTTTTATTGTGAATATTTATAAAAAAAAGTCAACACAAAGATTATCGAAAATTTTTAACCGAGAGAATTCAATCCTGAATTCTATGGGGGCGTTGTTAGTATATGGATGTCCTAGAGACAATCTTTTGATTAGATTAGGACATATGTGGACCTTTTATATTGTCGCAAATAAATAAAAGCACTCTTTATCCTATTTCATATTTTGTCTCAATATTATTGTTAATATTTTATATGAGTAACTGGATAAACCCCTTGGAATAGAACAGGTATCTCTTGAGTATCTGTGATGAGATCACGATCATGAGGATTCAAGGATACCGCACGTTTATTCCTAATTTTATGTTCCTAGTCTAGAGACACTGAGAATGGGGATCAGTGATCTCGGGTAAGACTAGCACGACTTATTTACTTGTATTTAGATACAAGGTAAAGACCTCATGTGCTACAGATATGGAGATGTCTTAGCTAAAGTCGTGGGTGGACCTATAAGGGTATAGCTCGCACTGAACAGACCCACAAAGAGACTCTATGAGAAAATCTCACAGATAGTATCATTAGAGTAGTCTCTTTATATTTGGGTATGTCTTTCCTGAGACCAGAAGTTATTACCTAGACTGCGTTCTAGAAGGCATGTTTTGATTGTATACCTCGCCTGCCTGAAACATGGAGACTCATAGGTATACTTTTGGGCATGTCCTGAAAGAGCACAGGCCTAAGGTGATAAGCTGAAGGAAACCGACAGCTCAGGATTATACTCGGCCCAGAAGGTGGGATACGCAAAATACCTCACCAGGTTGATGCTCAACCCGTCGACATAAAGGGGCAAGGGGCACCTCGCAAGGAAAATTTTTGATCACAAGCGGAGTACACATTCAGGGGAAAAAACCTGAAGAGATGCACACGTAAGTTCACCCCGACTACCCGGACGCCCAGGTAGCCGGGCTGAGGGGCAACTGTTATGGACCCATATAATGGGCCCGTTAAGTGGTAAGCCCAACAAGAGGCAATCTAAGATACTGATTGATATTAACAAAGGATAGATATCCATCAAGGATACTAATCCTAATACGACAGCATAGCAAACAGGCCTAGGCCCTCACCAGAGGCACCAAAGGCCCATCCACACTACCCACAGGTAACCTCTATAAATACAAGGTAAACCCTAAAGGTATGTTACGCTCTTTCTCTTACTGTTATGCTGTCACTGTGCGCGCACACACCCCATTGGCTAACGCCGTTATAGTATTCTGTGCACAGTGATCTGCTTGACTGGAGGGTATCTCATTCATAGATACCTTGGAGAGGGCACTAGATCCAAGATAAACGCACCAGCCTATTGGGTTGGACATCTCTGTCTCAAGGGCAGAACAACATTATTTAATAACTAAATTATTTTAATTATTGAAAAATGAAAGTTATAAAAAAAAATTATTTTAAATATTTTTATATTTTTATTTAATACTTCTCATTTTAATTTCTTAACTGAGTATTCTATTTAAGAACATGAATAATTAATAACACCTTTTACAGAAGTTTTAATTAAGCCACTTCGTGTGGTCAACAGACAAAAGCTCGTTTGATTTTTTTTAAATTGATTTCTTCCTTTTAATAACTGAAGCACTTGAAAGGAATGGATTTAATGCGTCTGATTTTGTACAGATCCGTTAATATTAAATCTCTCCATAAAAGATTCTGATACATAACATTAAACCAGAAAAAAAACTATTTAAGTATATAGAGTACATATATCATCAGTGTAATATAGACTCCCTTCTTTCTTGTCGTTTAAGAATTCTCTCCTCTGGCTCCTCATCTTCTTGCGAAGCAGCGAAGGTTTGGCCTTGTCTCTTGTTGCTCCCAATTCTTTTTATATGTGTATTATTATAATTGTGTTCTTGGGATCATCACTGTTTTCTTGATCATTTTCTTTCAAGAAAGTAGGATTAGTACTGTAATCTTGATCAGTTTCTTTAAATATAACCAGTTGTCCCCTCTTTTTAATTTTTGTTGTTCCACGGGTATCAGCTGTCCCCTATTCTGTTTCTTGTGTCTTATTTGATTCCACGTTATTAATTCCATATTTCAATCGATGCAACGATTTCAAGATCTTAAACAAGAAACAGAAAATCTGACAATATTGTTACTTGATATGAATTGCAGGATGGAAAACAAGAAAAGAAAACTGATGAGTCCAGATTGGTCCAAGATGCCAACTGACATCATAGAGACGATTTACAAGGGCTTAGAATTTCAGGATCAAGCTCGATTTGGCAGCGTATGTAAGGGTTGGTATTCTTGTACCTACAACAAACCCCACCTCGCAGTTCCAAACAGTACCCCTTGGTTAATTGATAACAATGATGAAAGTTCAAGATACAATCTTGTTGTTAGTCCCTCTCATCGTCAGAAGGATTGTAAGATCTACAAACCATTTAGGCCTTTCTGTGATTCCTGCATTAAGGGATCTATCAAGGGTTGGTTAGTTATCCGATCTCAAATCAAAGTCTTTATTCTCAACTTGTTCTCAAAGGTTCGAATTGAACTCCCTCCTCGTACCACGATGCCTGATTTCCTCAAGTCAAAGGGATACAATGTCAGTGGCATGGACACTCCTGTGTCTTTCACAATTTCAACATGTGTCAATTCAAATCCTTTCATGGCTGCATCTGTTACTTGCGGTGGTGACTTGGTATGGTGCAAGATAGGATCAGACAAAGCATGGAAAGGCTATCGGGGTGATAAAGAATATGGGAATCTCGCTTTTCACAAAGACAAACTTTAAGCTATTACCCGAGACGGTACAAAAGTTGATATATTTTGAGTTGGAGTTGATGATGAATCATCGGTGCTTTTTTTGTTGCATAGTATAGATTCTAAGCAGTCAACCAAGAATCTATCAGATTCTAATTTGAACGTATATTTGGTGGTGTCTAATGGAAGTGTTTTGGTTGTGAAGAGGTATTATCGTGATTTTGAATTTCTTGCGCCAACTATTGGCTTTGATGTTTTTAAGGTACAAGAAAACTGCATCCCACCCAGGCTCGTGAATGTGGACACCTTGGGAGAGCAAGATTTGTTTCTCGGTGGATTGAATTGTGAATCTCTTCCAGCTAAAGACTTTCTTGGAGTTCAAGAAGAAGGCTGCATATACTTCACTGGCTACTCCGATAGCGGTTTTATGTCTGTATTGGGAGCTTTCTCAGTTAAAGAAAGACGTCTGCTAGATCCGCTTTATCTTACCAATATAGAATATCCAATTTGGGTCTTACCTAGGTTTGCATTTACGTGTAACTGCACATGTCATGATTCTAGTCTATGGAAGCCCAAGAAAAAGAAAAAATATGTAAAGCGCAAAACTAATGTTGTGTGAATTTAATTTAGCTTGGGATTTCGATCTTGTGTACTTTGTGAAGAGATAAAAAAAAAAAATTATCAATGCAAATATTTTACATTGTTTTGATTACTTTCTTGTTAGGTGGTTTTATTCAACTGTAGAACATATCACAAGAGCCTATGAGTATGTGTCTTTGTGTTGTTCATGAGCAAGTCAAGTGGAGTAAAATAAAAGGATTCAGATCAAGTTTAGTTTACACGTCATTTCCATTATGTACGTCTTTTGGGTTTTCTTCGTGATTGTTTGTTTGCCTTCATTCGGGGTTGGCTATCTTGACCGAGTGTTATATTGTTTGGCACGCGTGTTACATATAGGTTCTTTCTTATATAGAGAGTTGTGGTCTCTTCGCTTAACAATCCTCACCCGAGCTGTGGTCTCTTTCATGCTATTGATCACCTTTGAAAGGTGGACTACAATTTTCATATGATCGATTAGATTGTTGATTTTTTTAATGTCTTATCATATATAAATTTTTTTATGTTTCTCATGAAAATTTTATATCTCCTACATACACATAAAAATATGAGGAGTCATGTGAAGAGAATAGATAGAAAAAGAAAATATGAACTTCATACACTTTTATGTGTGCATAGGAGATAAAAATTATCTCCTGGAATGTGGAAACATTTGTTAGAATTTTTAATTCCTCTATACCTTTTGGTGATAACTATCACCTACAAGCCAAACTCCATCATACCAAATCATAAAGAAATAAGAACATAAAGGTGGAGGCATACTTGTCTCCATTGCAGCGGAATAACTTTGATCTTGTCTCTTGGGATTTGTAGTCTTCCTCAGTCAAATCACCCTAGCTAAAACCAAATTCCTTAGTGTGCCGTCTCTCTCTTGATGGGGAAGAGAAACAAGGGTTGTTCTTTGACGTCTTGGGGACCATAACCCTTATAGTGCTTTTATCTTTATTGTTAGGCAAATAAGCTCCTATTATACCTAGTTAGCCCAACACCGGTATCCACTCATTCAGCCCATACTCACTTAGGAATCTATTTGGGAATATTTAACTGATCACTTTAATTTACCTAATATATATAAATAGCACAATATAATTATTAATATAATATGTAACCCACAATGATTATTAGAAAATATAATCTCCTAACAATCTCCCATTTGGGTCATATATTAACTTGAGATAATTATATCATATATCTTTAGTGCGCAACTGTATGCTATTTTTCTTTAGATTCCTCCTTAGATACAATATGGTCCACCTCCTATATCAATATGAGATCATGGCGGCTTTTGTCACTTTCAAGCGTAACTAAACCTTCCATGGTCATCGCACCAATATATTCAATGACATAGATCAAGTATGGATGAGTGGCATGGAAATTACATGCAATGTGATCTTACCATGCCTATTTCCAACTGGTCCTACTTTAATCTTTATGAGATCAATCCTAAATTTTCGGCATACACAAAGCAGAAACACAAGCACAAAATATAATACATTCAGAGGGAAAATAACATTGAATTCTTTATTCTGCAGAAAACAAACATAAGAATATTTCATTTATTTATTTACATAGAACACCAACATAAAGAACTCCCACTAACCGTAGTGTCATCGAACAAAACAACACCCATATGAGCAGTATGCTCGTGAAAGACCTTAGGCACTAAGCCTTTAGTAAGCGGATCCGCAAGCATGGGTTCGTCCCTATGTGTTCTATGAAAATCTGACCACTCTGAACTCTTTCTTTAACAACCAGAAACTTTATATCGATGTGCTTCGATTTTGAAGAGCTTCTGTTGTTGTTGGAGTACAACACTGCTGACATGTTTTCACAATAAATCTCCAGTGACCTTTCAACACCACTCACTATATGCAGCCCTGTGACAAAGTTTCGCAGCCATACCCCATGGTTGGATGCCTCAAAACAAGCTACAAATTCAGCGGCAATAGTAGAGGAAGCTACGAGTGTCTGTTTACACTCTTCCAAGAAATAGCTCCTCCAGCCAACATGTAGACATAACCTGACGTGGATCTTTTACTATCTTGGCATCCAGCAAAATCAGAGTCAGTATATCTGAGTGACTAGGGGTGTAAATGGGCTGGGCTGGGCTGGGCTTTGGCCATCCTGGCCCAAGCCTACGTCAAAAAAAATTCAGCCTATCTGGCCTACTGGCCTATTAAAGGCTTTATTTGTAGGCCAAGCCCGGCCCATTTTCAAAAATAAGAAAGCCTGATATGGCCTACAGGCCTTGTAGGCCTCCCACTATATATATTAAGCAAAAAAAATAATTGTATAGAGCAAAAAAAGTTTCATTCATGCATGCACTAGTACTTCTCATAAGAAAAAAATGACAAACAAGAAAGAGTCAACATAATACCTCAGCTCTAGAATGTATATCATATAGGAATAGAGTCAAAGAAATGGGAAAAATAAGAAAAATACAATTACTGGATGCTGAAATAAAGTCTACAAGAGAATGTCATTCATCTAAAAATCTTTAAACCACCATCAAGACAAGGGAAAGAAGAGTATTATTGAAAGATCTTCATCAGTAACATCATAATCCAGCAAGGTACCCATTGCTCCATGGTATTAAGCTGCGACAACATGTAAAATTTTTGGTACTTTGTGTCTTTGTCACATAAAATAAATATTATTTTATTATTTTATTTTAATAAATTAAATAGGCCAGCCTACAAGGCTGTAGGCCGGGCTTGACAAAATTGGCCTATGGCCTATTTATTAAAAAAACTTTTTTATAAGCCTAAGCCTACTCTACTTTTCTGGAAGGCCGGGCCTGGGCTGGGCTCAATGTAGGTCGGGCCGTAGGCTGGGCTGGGTCAGCCTGGCCCATTTACACCCCTATATCTGACGATCTCTAATTCATCTGACCTCCGATATGTAAGCATATAATCTTTTGTTCTCTTTAAATCCCGCATAACCCTCTTGGCTGCTTTCCAATGATCCATTCCTGGATTGCTCAAGTATCTTCCTAACACTCCCACTATAAATGCTATATCAGGGCGAGTACAAACCTGGGCATACATAAGGCTTCCTACTGCCGAAGCATAAGGTACCTTTGTCATTTCTATCATCTCAAGCTTACCTTTAGGGCATTGGGCGAGACTAAACTTGTCTCCCCTAGATATGGGCGTATCTCCTGACGTACAATCCTTCATGCCAAATCTAGCCAAAATCATTTCAATGTAGGCCTTTTGTGATAACCGTAGGATACTTTGAGCGCGATCTCAAAGTATCTGTATTCCTAAGACAAAAGATGCATCATCAAGGTCCTTCATCTCAAAAATTTTAGTGAGAAGTTTCTTGGTTTCATGCAATAAGCCTATATCGCTACTGGCAAGTAAGATATCATCAACATATAGTATCAGAAATATGAATTTACTCCCGCTGAACTTGTGATACACACAATCTTCCACTAAGTTCACCTCAAATCCATAGGAGATAATAACCTGATGGAATTTGTGGTACCATTGACGAGAAGCTTGCTTAAGGCCATAGATGGACTTTTTCAATTTGCAAACCATAGACTTTGAATCTCCCAATACAAAGTTTTCTGGTTGCACCATATAAATTGTCTCATCAATGTTACCATTGAGAAACGCTGTCTTTACGTCCATCTGATGTAGCTCCAAATCCAAATGAGCCACAAGCGCCATTATTGTCCTAAAGGAGTCCTTCGTAGAAACCGGAGAGAAAGTCTCTTTATAGTCTATGCCTTCTTTCTGAGTGAAACCTCTAGCAACTAGACGTGCCTTATATCTTTCGATGTTGCCATTTGAATCCCTTTTGGTTTTAAATATTCATTTACAACCAATGGGTTTCGCACCTTTAGGCAACTCAATAAGATCCCAAACGTCGTTGTCTTTCATAGATTACATCTCATCTTTCATGACATCAATCCATTTATGAGCATTAGAGCTTTCTAAGACTTGTTGGAAGTTGATTGAATCATCTTCCTTCAAGCTTAAAATATTTTCATGCTCTTGAAGAAACAGAATATAATCATCCGGAATTGCATTTCTCCTTTCTCTAGTGGATCTCCTTAATGGCACTTCTTGAGTTTGTTCTATAGGTGGCATAGGGGGTGGTTCATTATTGTCTTGACCCAAAGCAATGTCAGGGACCAAAGCCTGTTCCATAACAATGTCATGAACAGGGACCTGATCATTAATTGCTTGTTTCGTAATTGCATCTTGAATGATGACAATATTAGGAAGAGAAATATAACTTTCTTCCTCATCAAAGACAACATTCCTTATTTTATCTTCCCCCCCAAACTCAACATCCTCAATGAATCTGGCATTTCCCGACTCAAAAAAGGATCTTGTAGTGGGATTATAAAACTTAAAGCCCCGAGAGCGTTCAGCATATCCAACAAAATAGCAGCTGATTGTTCTCGAGTCCAACTTTCTTTCATTTGGCCTATAAGGCCTTGCTTCTGCTGGACAACCCCAAATGTGTAAATGCCTTTTGCTAGGTTTCTTTCCATTCCATAGCTCATAAGGGGTTTTTGTCACTGCTTTGCTGGGAACCCTATTAAGGATATAAACTGCAGTCTTTAGTGCTTCTCCCCAAAGTGATTCTGGCAATGAAGAATGACTAAGCATACTCCTCACCATGTCTTTAAGAGTCTGGTTTCGCCTTTCCGCAACACCATTCATGCTAGGTTTACCTGGCATTATGTATTGCGGGACGATTCCAACTCCTTTAGGAAGATCGCAAAGGGCCCTGGACGTTGTTCACCTAATCCATCAGATCTACCATAGTATTCACCACCACGATCAGATCTAATGGCCTTAATTTTCTTGCCTAACTGAAGTTCAACTTCAGCTTTAAATTCTTTGAACACATCCAATGATTGTGACTTCTCTCTAATCAAATATAGGTATCCAAATCTTGAATAATCGTCTATGAATGTGATAAAGTATTGTTGACCATTCCAAGAGGCTATAGGAAATGGTCCACAAATATCCGTATGAATCAATTCTAAGACGTCTGAAGCTCTGTTGGAACCTATTTTCCTTATGTTTGTCTGTTTCCCCTTTATGCATTCAATGCACACCTCAAAATCATCCAGATCAAGGGGTTCAAGAATTCTATCAGTCACAAGCCTCTGAATTCTCTGTTTAGAGATATGACCTAAACGCTTGTGCCACAGAACCAGTACCAACAAACTAAAGTGAGAGTCATACCCTTCTTTTCGCGCCATGCCTTGTATTTGGAACACTCTTTCTTCATGTGTCCAGATTTCTTACAAAAGAAGCAGGTGAATTCCTAGTCCTGCTTCTTTTGCTTCTTTGGCAAAGCATCCGCATTATCCTTAGCTCTCTTTCTTTTCTTGTCTTGAGAGGTTGATGCCAAGTGAGCACTATCAGTCTTCTCTCGTTGTAACCTCTCTTCCTCTTGCACGCAGTGAGAAATGAGCTCATTAAGAGTCCATTTTTCCTTTTGAGTGTTATAACTCACCACAAATTGATCGTATTGTGCAAGAAGAGAGATAATAACTAAGTACATGAGCAACTCAGATGGCAGCTGTAACTTTAATGCCTTTAGTTTTCCAGCAAGATTAGACATTTCCATAATGCACTCCCTTATGTTTCCCTTTCCTTTATACCTCATGTTTATGAGTTTGGACAAGGTTAGACCAATTTCATCCTTTTCATTTCGAGCAAAGTATTGCTCGAGTTCCTTTAGAAACAACTTGGCATCAGTAGTCTCAACAATCGAGCCCCTAAACGCCTCCGGAACGCAACGTTTCATGATCATCAGACACATGCGATTTGAGCGTTCCCACTTCTCAATTTTATCCGTGTTTGGATTTTCCTGAGTGGAAGTGGGTTTCTCAGTCCTTAGCGCATTGTCGAGATCCATGCAGCCGAGAACAATTTCTACATTCTCTTTCCACAGCTTGAAATTTTCCCCATTAAGCATTGGAAGCATATTCATTTGAGCAACATAATTGGCAGCGGTAGCAGAAACTATACAGAGAACAAAAAAGATAACATACAAATAATCCGAAGTAAAATGAGTTTACTATAAGATACCTAGCACAACATTAATATTTAGTCAGTGGACAAAAATATCAACTTGTAAGTGGTACTCTTAATGTAGTAATCAAACATTGACAATAAGTCATGTCAAATCATAGCCTTCCTGTGGGCCGACTATGAATTACATGGAGAATTCTTGATAATTGTTACATATTTATTACCACAGGTATGTTTGTTACTTGGCCAAATAATAACCTTCTTGTGGACCGATCACTATCCGCATAAGCAATAAACACACACATGATCACACAACATATGTTATTTGGCCAAACAATAACCTTCCTGAGGGCCGATTATTATTTGCATAAATAAAATATATTTATATGACCAAGCTATTTGAAATCGAATTAACCTTTATAAATTTGGCCACTTTGGCGGCTAACAAATCTATCATATTCAATTTCAAATAGAAACCTTTAGGGATAATAAACACATTTAAAAATAAAATAACAACAATAAAGAAAATTATTCGTTATCAATTCTCAATGTATATATATATATATATACATATTGTATCATTATATCGATAACAATAAATACCTTTTCATTATAAGGTTTAAAAATTAATGCACAATCGACGCACATGTAAGCCTTTTCAAATGAAAGCTTGAAAATGATGCACACAATAAATACCTTTTCATTATAAGGCTTAAAAATTAATGCACAATCAACGCATATGTAAGCCTTTTCAAATAAAAGCTTGAAAATGATTCACACAATACCCAAAAATTTAAATTTGGCTTTTGACAAAGAATATCAAATCTAAGAAAAAAAATCTCAAAACCAAAGACCTTAAACATTCGATTTCTTTCAAACTATAAGTCCAAAACATTCTATGAAAATTAATTGTTCATTTAAATTTGCAATTCAAACAACAAACCCTAATTATAAAGCCAAAATTTTTCCAAACATTCCATCTTTAAGAATATTCAAAAGTTTAAATAATAAACCCTTATTAAACTGCGAATTCTAGATTTTCAAAAGATTGTAACTTTTGTTCCAAAACCAAAAATTACCGTCAGGGAACAAAAATAACACTATATAGCTAATACAAAATACATGAGATGGAACCCACATTCAAAAAAAAGTAAACTTTATGCCAAAAGACAATAAAACAAAACTTGTCACGATTCATCATATATAAAAATCACAAAACTTAATTCCCTCATGATTCAATATGATTATGGCTCTGATACCAATTGTTAGAATTTTTAATCCCTCTAAACCTTTTGGTGATAACTATCACCTACAAGTCAAACTCCATCATACCAAATCATAAAGAAATAAGAACATAAAGGTGGAGGCATACCTGTCTCCATTGCAGCGGAATAACTTTGATCTTGTCTCTTGGGGTTTGTAGTCTTCCTCAGTCAAATCACCCTAAAACCAAATTCCTTAGTGTGCCATCTCTCTCTTGATGGGGAAGAGAAACTAGGGTTGTTCTTTGACGTCTTGGAGACCATAACCCTTATAGTGTTTTTATCTTTATTGTTGGGCCAATAAGCTCCTATTATACCTAGTTGGCCCAACACGGGTATCCACCCATTCAGCCTATACTCACTTAGGAATCTATTTGGGAATATTTAACTGATCACTTAAATTTACCCAATATATATATAAATAACACAATATAATTATTAATATAATATGTAACCCACAATGATTATTAGAAAATATAATTTCCTAACAACATTATTCTCATAAAAAACATATTAATTTTTTTTTAAATATCAATTAATGTGGAAATGATCTTGCCTTTAATTTTTGTCATTTTAATACACATGCAATTCCTATTACCAATGATCTAATTAACTTTATATAAATTATTCAAGCTGTAATTTTTAAGAATTGTCGAATATATTTGATTCCTTTTATTGAAGTTGTAGTCATCAGAGTAGGGCTGTGCATGGGTCAGGTCGGGTCAGGTTTTTGTGCCGACGCGACCCAACTTGGTTTTTATAGGTTAGATATTTTGACCCGACCCGCTTTAATTTGATCCAAGTCAGGTTTGACTTGGTTTAGATTTTTTTGAACTAGTTCAGAACTGGGTCGGATCTGACCTGACTTGGTTTCTGAAGTTCTTCTGACTTGGTTTCTGAAGTGGGTCAAATCTGACCTGACCCGTTTTTGACTTGGTTTCGTCACAAAATTTTGTCAAAATTTCTACGTTACAAATGACGAAAATTTCGTAACAAAATTATTTTTTCGTCGCAATACTTTTTGTCGAGAAGCCACGAAATTTTTTCTCTAACGAAAATTTTTACAAAAATATATTTTCTATCGAAATTTAGTTTCCGTCAAAAGTTTTGATGAAAATGATTTCCTCCATAAAATGTTTTAAACGAAAAAAGAATTCCGTCAAAAATTTTGACAGAATGTTTTTCGTTCAAAATTTCGATGGGAATGTATTCTGACAAAAGTTTCGACGAAAATTGTTTTGAGGGAAATATTTCATTCGAAACTTTCGACGAAATTTAGATTCTCTAAAGAATTTTGACAGAATATTTTTTCCGTCAAAATTTTTTATCGAAATATTTTTTGTCAAAAATTTTTACGAAATTTTTTGACAGAAATGTGTTCCGTTGAAAATTTTGATGGAAATGTTTTTTATCATAAAACTTGACCAAAATATTAAGTCTAAAATTTTCGATGGAAATGTGTTTCGCTAAAAATTCGACGAAATTTTGTTTTTGTCAAAAAGATTAACGAAAATGTTTTTCGTCGAAATTTTTGATGAATAAGTTTTTTTGTGAAATATTTTGACGAAATTTAGATTCCGTAAAAAAATTTGACAAAACTTTTTTTCCGTCAAACTTTTTTACAGAAATCTTTTTAGTCACAAATTTTGATGAAAATATTTTTCGTCAAAAATTTATCAAAAATTTTTGTTGGAAATATTTTGTGAAATTTTTTTTGACGTAATTGTTTTACCTTACAACTTTTCTTTTAATGTAATTGTGATTTTTTTTTCTTTTTTTTTCACATAATGGGTATGGGTAAAGTTTTGGGTCAATGGGTTATTATTAAAACAAGTCAGGTCTAAAATTGACCCAAATAAAGTGGGTCAGTATTTAAACCCAGTTCAAAAAAATAGGTATTTATGGGTCAGGTCAAGGTCAGATCAAGGGCAGGGCAAGTGAACTAGTTTTCTTGCACACCCCTACATCAGAGTATGGAAGAAAAATAATTGAGAGAGAAAATAAAAGGGAGCCGAATCTCGTGATACAATTTCATACTTGCTTGAAACAATTACATGCCATTTAGATATTATGCATATTGTAATTATTATAATAAAAATTTGATTTAAAGAAAGTTTTAAATGCATTAAAAGATAAAAGAATATAAACAAGAAAAGAAAACTTCAACTTAACATAAAAAAAGAGAGTCTACTAAGCTATTATATTGGAACGATTATAAAAGCATTCTTTGATTCTTCATTCCTTGTGTTTATTTGCCCAAGAGTAAGTCCGCCATAATAAGTTGTTAATGTAAGAAAATTTCAAAATAGGATTATATGATTTTAGAACACCAAAAGAGTTTAGGCTTACTTGTTGACGACATGATTCTTCTTGATGTCTCAATTGCAGTGCTTGCTATGGTATTCCTTCAAAGATTGAAGGACCATGATCTTCCTCTGCAATTCACACCACTCCATGTTTACAATTGTTGATAGGGCGATTTGTGGAGTGATATTTTTTCAACACAATGTGAATACAGAGAGGACCTAGCCAAACTTATTAACCCGAGTTCCCTTCCCATCATGGGCCTATGAGTTAGGCCTACACTGTTACCCACACTAATTAATTTATAGATATCCAAGCCAAAATAAAAGGATCATTTAATTAAATGGACTTTATACTGCACCCCCATATGGATCATGACTTAACTCATTTTAATAAAAACAAGAAAAACTTCAATTCATTGAAGCCCATAATGATTCTAAATAATTCTAACATTCTCCCACTTAGGAAAAATCAATTGTAAAATTTTAATTAAAAAAAAAAAGAAAACAAGTTATTTGAAAATGACTCTCGGGTTAAAGACTAATTTTTATAATGTGGCCACATTTTAAGAAAACACGTGACCCAAGGTGCGATATCTGAATATGACTTCATCCAACTAAAGTCAAATAACATTGAATCAGGCGATGATTATATCATTGCCGATAGAAGACCTTCCATGGTCACAAATATTACTTAACTCTGTCGATTACTCATTAAAGTGTAGAAAGAAAATAGCATGCCAATGTGATCCAACAACAGCCAAACTACTATTTTCTCTATCAATTCACAAATTTCTCTCAAATGCCTTAAAGCCAGAGAAATTCCATGGTATATCAAAAAAACCATCATATAATCAAAATTGGTGTCGACCACGGGCCCTGTAGTCCTAACAACACCACTATGTCTCAAACTCCATATAGTGTCAACCATAGATATGATGGTTCCAACGACACTGAGTTCCAAAATTATGCCTCAAACTTCAACATAGTGGTCCTAACAACACTGAGTTCCAAAATCTTATTATCATGCCTCAAACTCCAATATAGTGTCAACCACAGGTACAGTGGTCCCAACGACAATGAGTTCTAAAATCTTGCAATTGATATGTAGAAACACATATACTCAAACATATAATAACAAAAATAATATATTACGAGTTGCTCACAATGAAAGTACATGTCAACCAAACACCAGTAATATACTAAATGAAAAAATTGAGAATTCAAACTCCCACTAATTAAGTATATCAAAGGAACCCACAATGCCCATGTTTTTAAAATACATTTAAACACCTTGAGCCTACGTCCTTTAGTTAGAGGTTCAGTGATAAGTGTCCAAGACACTATGTTTTTATGGTAAAAAAGAGTTAAAATAATTATTAAAATAGTTAAAAATATAGTGTTAAAATAATAAAATAGTAAAACA